ATGGAGGAAGAAATTCATGTCATTGAAAAAAATAATATTTGGATGCTTATTTCTCTTCTCAGTGGAAAGAAGATCATTGGAGTTAAATGGGTGTACAAGACTAAATACAAGCCAAATGGAGAGGTGAATTGCTTCAAAGCGAGGTTAGTAGCCAAATGTTACAAACAAAAACCAAGTGTTGATTATCTAGAGATTTTTTTTCCTGTTGCTAGTCTTGATACTGTTTGTATGATTTTTTCTCTTGCTGCTAATAACTCTAAGAAGATATTTCAAATGAATGTGAAAATCTACTTTCTTGAATGGTGTCCTTGGGAATAAAGTTAATGTTGAGCCGCCTGCTGATTATGTGAATAAAGAGGAGAAAAACAAAGTCTATAATTTGAAAAAGGTTTTGTATGGGCTTAAACAAGCCCTTAGAACGTGGTACATCAGATTGATTTTTATTTTGTAGAGAATAGTTTTTAGAGATGCCCCTATAAACACACTTTGTATGTCAAAACTAATTTTCATGGAGATATTATTATTGTGTGTTTGTAAGTGTATGATTTTATTTTTAGAGGGAATAACCTAAAATTAATTGAGAAATTTAGGGAGATAATGATTTCTCAGTTTGAGATGACTAATATGAGTTTGATGTCTTATTTTCTTGGGATTGAAGTAAATCAAACAAACAATGGGATTTTTATTTCTCAACATAAGTATGCTACGGATATCTTTAAACAGTTCAGAATGGATTCTTACAATCCTATTTTGACTATAGTTGAAAAAAGATTAAAATTGGGGAAAGATGGAAATAGTGAGTTGGTGAATCACACATATTTCAAATGGTTGGTGGGAAGTTACGTTATTTAACTTCTACTAAACCTGATATTATTTTTGGAGTTGGCCTTATCAGTAAATATATGGAATCTCCAAGTCAATCCCACTTGCAAGCGGCAAAAAAGATTTTGAGGTATGCTAAAGGTACCCAGAGTGATGGTATTATTTATTCTTCTACTGGTTCTTGTGAACTTGTAGGGTATACAGACAGTGATTGGGGAAGTGATGTGAAAAAAGTTAAAAGTACTTACGGATATTATTTTCAAATTGGTTCGAGAATTTTTTTCCTAATCTCCAAAGAAACAAGAAGTTGTTGCCTTGTCTACCAGACTAGTAGAGTATAGTGCAGTCACCAGTAGTGCTACACTGGCAGTGCAGTTGCGTCTTATGCTTGAATTTTTTTAGCATGCACATAAAATTCCTTCAAAGATTTTCTGTGATAATAAGTCAGCTATTGCATTGTCAAAAAATCCAATTTTCATGGAAGGAACAAAACATATTCATGTCAAGTACCATTATATTCATAACTTGGTTATTGATGGCGAGATTGATATTTTGTATTATCGATCTGAAGATCAAATTGCAAATATTTTACTAAGCCACTAAAATCAAATGCATACATAAAGCTGAAACGAATGATGAAGATGATCGAGGCTGAAGAATTTGGTTCAAAAGAGACCGTTAGAGTTTAACTTAAACTCTTATTGAGATAATTATGATTTTTAGTTGGTTTAGGAGTTCCTAGTCCACATGGAATTCTTGTCCATTGGAGTTATTATTGAATTATATTTGGTATAGGATTTCTTCTTGACTTTGGTATTTTAATTTTTTTGGTTGTTAGCCGTGAACATGATGATGTGTGAGTAAAATATCAGTAGTTTTTGGTTTTGTAGAATGAATTTGTTTTTTGACATGAAGTTTTGACGTTCTTTTACTTCGTCTTCTGCCATAATTTTTTCTTTGATTAAATCTTTGTTTGTGAGATTATTTTGAGTGTTTAACATTATTTTGAGGTCCTATGATTTCTACTGTTTCTCACTCTTAGAGTTGCCTATGCTAACGAAAAAATAAATAAATTTCGGTATCATACCTATATTTATTATATTTGTGGATATTTTTATCATTGTTGTGTGTGTTTTTATCAATTTTATAATACTAAAAAAACGATAAAAATAGTTACCACAATATTGGTAAAAAACACTTACAAATGTCATAAATTATCCCCAAAGTGGTAATTTTATTGTACCGAAGAAAAATGGTAAAAATAGTACCATAACAATTATAATAATACCTACAAAAAATAATAAATCACTCACAAATATGATAAATTTTTTAGTTATAAATGACTTACAAAAATTATAAATACATCTATTCAAGTAATAAATTTTAGAGATACAACTCCGAATTTTTGTTGTTAGTATTGTGGTCAAGTCCCTCACTCTTTCTCATTCTCTTCCCACATTGATTCTATACTCAAATCAATGCATTTGCATCTCAAATTTGGGATTCTAAATGTAATCCCAAATGGGTAGAAACTTTGGATGAGTGGGTCTTATTAAAAAAAAATAACGGAATCCACTGATCCAAAGATCTTTACTGATTTAGGATATGATTTGGGATCTCTAGCATTGGTTTTTTCTTTCACCTTTTTTGTGTCCACCCAGCAATTCTTTTGTCAAGTAGGGCAACCTTTTGTTGAAATCCATGCCAATATAAACATTTTTCTTCTTAATTTTTGGTGGGACTGTTCAAGGGGTTTATGGATTTTTAAGATTAATCCTTTGCTAGGATCAAGATGGTTATTCATGAAAAGTGCATTTTCACTTGATGCACCACATGCCAATGTCAAGTACCTTGCTTTTCTCTTGTGGTAGAAGGAAAATTCAAGGCTAGGGCATGGATGAGAAAATTTTGAGACAACCATATGATTTAGAATAGAAAGGTTTTTTTTTCTGGTATCATATCGAAATTTGTAATTCAATCAATCAGATCAAGTTAAGACTCGGGTCAAATTAAAACATAATGGGGTTAATCTAAGTTCAATTCAAAAAAACTTTTTTTTAGATCGATCTCTATTTTTCGAACTTCATTGAGTTATAATTTTGGCTTCTTTAGATTGCAAATTTGGATAAGAATTTGATAGTGTAATTTTTCTCAGACATACCAACTTGGAGTAACTTTTTCTTTATCATGGGAGAAAAAACTACATTAATCTCAAGTATTAACTCAAGTGGTAACAAAAAGGAGTTGTAACTTCAGACATTTTGATTTCAAATTTTGACAACTCTTTGGGACTAAGCCATGAGATATTTATCTCGGCGTGCACGACTTGCTTTTTATCGATTCGGAGAAAAAATTAGTAGAGTTATACGTAAATTAACTTGGAACCACTAACCATTGAATAAAAAAAAGGGTTAATTATAAAATGTCTCTTTGAACTTTGGGTCTTGTTTCATCAAGTCCCTCTAGTTTAAAATTAAACAATTTGCCTGCCATACTTTAAACATTGCCTCAATTAACCCATCATTGTTAATTCTTACCATCAAAAGTGACAGAGAAATTAAAAAGATTGATATTAAAAAATAAATATACCCTCTTCTCCCTAAACAAATAACCCATCGGTCCCAAAAAAAAAAAGAAAATTCCATCTCCACCCACGCCAACAGATCTGTTGAATCTCCCACAGTCCCTTACCAGCAACAATCCTTACCATCAAAGACCAACAACTACCATGAGGAGTATTTACAGTGGTGGTGCATTTTCGGTGGAATTTTTTAGTGGTTTGTGGCTGGGTGGTGGCTGCGGTGATTGGTGGTTGGGTGATTGTGGCTAGGCGGTGGTTAGGTGGTGGCGTTGGAGCTTTTGGCTCAATCGAGCAAACAGAAAGGGAAAAAAAATGGAGATCAATAAAGGTTAAGGGTAAAAAAGTAATTTTAAAATTTTTGTCTAATTCATCGGTCAATTTGTTAATTTTGAAACTTGAAGGGAATAAATTGTTTAATTTTAAATCAGAGGGACCTGATTGAAATAAGATCCAAAGTTCAAGGGAATATTTTGTAATTAACCCTAAAAAAAACTTTCACTTAGGGTCCTCTAATGGGCCACTCCAACCGGTGCTTACATGGATTTAAAAGTAAATTTAAAAAATAAATTTAATAATCATAATCATCGAATAGATAATAGATATTAATAAATAATAAAACCCATAATAAAATCGATAGTTATAATTATTAAATCTAATTTTTAAGTATATGTAACATTCTTCTTCCAAATTTTGCTAATTAAGCAAATGATCAAGGTAGAGTATGATATTGAAGAAAATCTCGTAAAGAAAATTATAATATTTTTAATCAAGTTATAACTAATAAAAGTAAGTTGTAATAAAAATAATTAAAGTCAACCCCAAAAAATAAAATCACCATATCAAATTATAAGCTCACTCTTTATTTTGTAGCAACTTTATTACAGTCCTTAAAAAATACTTTTGGATGAGCATTCGGAAAAGTCTATGATACCAAAAAAAAAAAAAATTTAATACTGTACTGAAGATTAATCATAGAATTCTTATGACCAATTGTAATTTCTTTTAAATGCATAATTTGACATTTAAGAATTATAACTTTCATGTTTCAAGTTTGATCATACTCTTAATAAATTATAATTTATAACTAAAAAAATTATAATTTTTAATTTTAATAAATTATAATTTTCATCACGATACCGACGAGAATACCATAGTGTTTTCTTACGGTAGATATGGGTACCTCAAAAATTCCAAGGTGTGCAGATGTGGGTAGCAGTAACCAGTCTATTGTGTGGCCCCAGGTTGTTGACAAAAGCTATGCACCCTTTGCATGATTGCAGACCCCTTTACAGCTGAGAGCTGATATGTCATCCTCTTTACTTTGTCACCAAGCAAATTACAAATTCAAACTTCCCTCACTTTTCTCAATTAAAAAGCAACCGAAATTTAATAGAAATTCATACTTAAAAAAGAATAGGGGAAAAACGTAATTTTAGCACTACACTGAATTGACCATCTTCTTCCTCCATTTTTCTTCTATTTTTAGATTTTCCCCAAAAAAAAATTTTGAACACCTAGAGCATCAGAAATTAGGAAAAAGTAAGAAATTGATGGTTAAAATTAAAGGTGCAGCTTAATTTTCCTGGACCGGTACGCATTAGATCATGTGCCTGAACTCTTGACCACTCTGATGATGAATCACGTAATCATTACCGTTCGATACGGGTACGCCGAAGATCGAGGTTTGCGTAAGTAACTGTTGCTGGTGGTGTGTCTGGAGCTCATTTTGCCGCCGGAGTTCCAGTACCTTCCGGTGCGAATTCGAATGCTTCGCCGACATAAATGTCGGACTCGCCGCCGGCCGGTACTCTGGAACCAACCTACCAGACTTGTATCTTACCCCACACGCATTGCATAAAGTCTTTGGGCCTAACGGCCCCGTCCTCCACTGCGGTGTCTTATCGGAAGCACAGTGCAAACACTTCCGGCCAGGGGTTTCCGCACTTTCCCTCTTCTTCGACGACGCCGTTTTGATGGGTGGAGTGTTGTTTTCTGATGATGATTTGGCCGGGGAGAGGACGAGGAGGCGGGAGGACCAGTTGCCTGGGGCGGCGCGTGACCGTTTGCTACGGGCTTTGCCTGGAACGACGACGGCCGACGGAAATATCGGAGAGGAGTTGATATTTGGCATGGTTGCAAGCTCCAGTGTGGTGGTGGTGGTGGAGGAAATGGAGGCGGTGTCGGTGGGGGCTGTGGTTGTGACGGTGGTAAGTTGGAGGTTTTGGAGGTCGTCGCTTGAGAATGAGTCCTCCACGAAGTTCGAGAGCCATTCCAGATCAGCCAAGTCGTCGTACTGTACACCAAAACAAGCTACATTTCAATGTCTCTTCAATTTCATTGCTCTTCTGTGAGCACGTTAAAATTATATATGCTGTTTTCCTAGAGAGAGAGGATTTAGAAATTTACCGGAACACAGAGTTCGGAGCCGGAGAATTGAGGGTCATTGAAGCTACGGCAGCTGATATTGCCGGAGAACGGAGGTTCTCCACCGGAAACGGAGGAATTACAGCTGTCAAGGATGGATACAGTCGAAGAATGAGCTGAATTTCCAGTAACGTTATCGAAAAAACCGTCGGTCATGACTTCTTCTTTGGAGAAATCAAGCAAGTCATCAACAGCGAATTGGTTGTTATTATCGTTCGTTTTCTGGTCGAATAATTGGTTGTCTCCTACGGCGTGGCCAAAATAACCGCCGATGAAGAACTCCGGAGCTTCCATTGCTCTGTGTTTGTGTATGTTTTTACGGCAGGTTACCAGTTGTTTACGAATTGTGAGAGAGAGAGAGAGCTTGGATTGCGTTTTGAAGATGACTGGCTGAGAGAGCTGAAAGGGGGTGTGGGTTTTGACGAGTGAGCAAGGGGGTAGAGTTGGCATTTTTTGAAAATTTGAAGCATCTTTACTTAATGAGTGAAATGTTTAAAATAATAGCAAGTTACTTACTACTAGTGTAAAGTTGTCTCGACTTGTTTAATTACATTAAAGCACTTCATTTTTTTTTTCTTTTTTATTTTCCTATTAAAAAAAAATTCTTACAACAAAAAAAAGAAAAAAATGTCTAAGCTCCAAAAAACTAACCAAAGAATGAGCATTGTCTCTAAATTTGAGTAGCTTGATAAGTAGATCTTCTTCATTTTGTTAACGTAAATACATTCATTATATATAAATTAATCTCTCAACTATATTGAAGAAGATGTTCTATTATTGAGAGAAAATACATAAAGCGAGATACAGATTCTCATTTCCGATGTTTGTCGCTTGATTACATTCCATAATCAACAATTTGTAAATCTTCTCACATCAATTGCTTACTCAAATTTCATGTTTGAATTAATGGTGCTAAAATATAAAACGATACTAAATTAGAAAATTTGAGTCTTTTTTAAATTATCTATTTTCGTAAATTAGTAGATTCGACATGACACGATTAATAAACAAATCAAGCATATGTGAAATTAATAGACAAAAATACATGATATTGTTCGTTTATATATTATACACGATTGATACATCAAACAAACTTAATATGATACAACTTATTAAACACGAATTAATAAACGAATCAGATATGAGTTAAGAATTTTTTGATACGAACCCGTTAAGATGCGATACAAACTCGCTTCATTCGATACGATTGAGAGTCCTGAGTATTAGTATGTAATTTAAAATCAATAACTCATAATATAGAAATACGAAGGGTGTAAAAAGTAAATTTGAAAAGACCCCACAATTAACAATGCAGACAAAAAAGAAAAAGCAATTCAAGAAGTAAAAAACTGAAACTTACGAGGGACAAAGTAATAATAGTTCAGATTCAACCCCGATCTAATACGAGGCTTTGTCACCGTTAGTCCTCAATGGTGTCCAAGTTTACAGCCGGATTCTCTCTCTCTCTCTATTTTTTTCTCGGGAATTGCGTTTTGCCCAATTATTTAATTTTTATTTAATTTCCCCCCTCTGATTATAATAATTATTAACTCCATTATTAGTAGTACTTTCTACCTTGTATTAGACCATGTTGTTATATTCTTTAACCCATGTTTAGACACGATGATTACAGCTCAAATGACGGTCATGATCAGATCCACACGTTATGTTGGCAGATTTTTTTTTCACTTTCAACCTTTTTATTTATGGCCAACTAAAATTAAGTGAGAGTGTCACGGATTTAGAGCTTGATATCTTACTAACAAATGTTTTCTGCCCATTGATTTTGTGTGGAATTTCATTGGGTGTCTATTAATAGTAATTTTATTTTTGATTTAGAAGAATAATTAATTGACTATTCGACTATTGCAAACCTGCTTCGGTAGTCCTCCAAAAATACATTTACCTAAATATTTTTTATACCGACACTTTTTAACTATGGGAATGACCATAGTTCAATTTTAATTACAAACAAGATATAACTAGTAATACATGAAATTGAATGCAATTTTCATTATATCACGATCGTTTAGTTTAATCTGAAGTTTTACAGTGCCCGAGACATTTGTACGTTTCCCCAGGTCAATCGCTGTTAACAAACAAATGTGATAGAGTTTCTTAACAGTTACTTACAATGCCCATATATTTTTTAACCAATAGTTTTTTAGTTTTACTTTATTGACCTTAATATAATAATAATATTCACTAAACGAACTTTCTTTTAGTGTTGATAGTGTCAAAAAACCGCCAATGGATAAGCTCTAAGCGTAGTGTGTGTGAAAAAATAAGTGAGAATATATAAGAAAATAAGTAGTTTACCTGGTTGAATAGTTAGATCAATTTATCATAATGGAGACTCTTGTTCTTTTATGGTTTATTGTTTGAGGAAGAAGAAGAATACAATAGAATTTTTTTCCCCATATTTGATGTTGTCTCTTGGATTATTTTTTTTTACACAATTATTATTATTTTTTATAACGAATTTGTTAGAGATTATTAAGTGTGTCGTAGCCTTCAAAAATCAGTGACTTACGATCTAAGGTAGGGCTCAACAATATGTGGGTTCAATTTCCGCTATGCTTCATCCTAGTAGGTGTATGTGTTATTGGGCTAGCTAAACTTGCTTTGATTTATTGTGCGTCCACTCTTATTCGGGTTCACTTAACAGAAAGTTAACTTTCTTCACTTGTTTTGCATTGCCTTAACTCCTCAATTGGGTCTCAAGTTCTCTGATACGATCTTGAAGTGTGGCTCTGTGGAGAGAGGGGAGACTTGCACTGAGCCTCCCTAACTAACCAATTCTCCTCCCTTCCATATTGATTATACAACAAATGAACGTTATTAAGAATCGTTAATGACAAAAGTTTTTTTCTATTCTTTCTAGTAGTTTTTATGTTATTTGTTGTCTTCTGAAATCTTATTATTGTCCAAGATAACCATTGAAGGGGGTCGACTTAACCTGACCTTGCCTAGCTGACCTGACTTGACCGAGCTGGCTAATTGACCCGCCTTGGTGAAGTTGGCTAACTTGACCTACCTGCCTAGGCTGAGTTGAGTTGACCTCCTCATTATATACTAACTTGTATTTTCTTGACCTATTCAACTTATATAGTTATCCTGTCTTGACTTGACTTATACGAACTGTATATTTTTTTGGTATCATCAAGGATAGTAATAAAATTATTTTTTAGTAATTAAACATCATAACTTTGAGTAACAAAAAAAAAAAAAAAAGCTGTTGTTTTGATACGAAGTAAAAAGAGAGGTTTGCCTCTTCTTTTTTTTAATAAATTTACAAATAATCGTATGTGGATTTTTTTTTTTTTTTTGTTGTCAAGTGGTTTATGGGGTCCAACTTAGCACGTGACGAAGGTGAGGGGGGGGTGCTGTTTGCTATCCTCTGAGAGAGTTTGATTGATTCATATCCGTATAGGTATTGCTGGCTATTGGTTGATTTCCAAAAGGCCAGTCCAGACCAGACCCAGACCCAGTCGGTGGTCAAATTCCACGTATGGGCTATAAGTATAAACTACTTAAAATTGGAAACGAGTCTCCCTAAATGTATTTATTTAGAGATAAGTCATGCAAGAATATTTATAAGGGGTTAAGTTCATGTTTAAAATTATATGTAAAAACTTAAGTCCACTTTTTTTTTTTTATCTTAAAAATATATTTTCTTGAAAGAAAATTAATCTTTTCTCTCATGTATATATATATATTAATATTAAAAAAAATAGTAACATTCAAATACAAAAAAATAGTTACTATGAAATTGAATAGTAAAATTCAAATTCATGTTACTATTTTTTTAATTATGTTATTGTTCATGTTATTATTTTTATTGAGTATGTTATTGTTCATGTACATTATTTTTGAGCATATTACTATTTTTGTTGATCATGTTACTACTATTATTTTTCTAAATATTAATATTCAATGTTACTATTTTTTTTCGAATATTACTATTTTTTGTATCTGAATGGTACTAATTTTTGTGTCTAAATTTGAGAGAAATAATTATTGTTAAGTATATTACAGTTTTTGTTAAATATGTTACTATTTTTGTTGAACATATTAATATTTTTGTTAAACATGTTACTGTGTTATTTTTTAAAAATATTAATATTGAATGTTTTAATTTTTTTTATGTTTAAATGTTACTATTTTTTTGTGTTTAAATGTATTATTTTTTGTGTCTAAATGATAACTTTTTGTTATATTTGAATGTTACTATTTTTTATTTTTAATGTTTCTATATATATGTACATATATATAATCTATATATAAATAGATAAGAGAAAAAAAAAATTTTAATGTTAATCAAACTCTTAACTTATATATGAATATAAATAAGTATGAAAGAAAAAAGATTTTAATGTTAGTCAAACTCCTAAAATTTAAGAGTTTTTAATTTTTAGTTTTATTTCACTTCTAAAATAAATGGATAGTATGGTAAAATTGATAAAAATAAATTTAATAACAAATAAGTTTCTTTGACGGACTTAAGTCCAAACAAGTCCTTATAGGGAAATCAACCTCCAAATTTTCTTATAAATTAGTGCTGGAAATTCGAATCCCGTTTCCGCTCGGAGTCCGAGTCCGAATCCGAATCTCACCCTCTTTCTTTGATGCTTCCCGCACGTGCGTCAACCCAATTTCCATTTCCTCAACCAACATGGCTGCACGTGCTGGGACTCATCATTGAGAAACATTGCACGTGATTCTTCCCCCCTGATACCTGGCTTCGAGTAAGGGCAAACTCATTTCCACGGAGAGACACAGAGACAGAGATAAGAGTAAATATTGGGTGTAACAATTAAATAAGAAAATAATAAAAGAAAAATATATGACTCACATCTTATTATCAAAGTTGTTATGGATGATATGATTGAGTAGTTATGAGTTTCAGCAGAACTCATTTGTTGACTTATTTATCTTACAATGGACGTGACACTGTTAATGTAATGTACAGTTATACTTAATATATTTTGGAAAGATAGAGAGTGTGAGGGTTTTGTAATTATAAAATTTTGTTTTAATGTATTATTTTAGTCACTTAAAAAATAAAAAAAAATTTAAATTTTTTAAAGCATTTCAAAAATAAAATAAAAACAAATAAAAATTTTAAAAATTAATTACCAAAATATTTTAAAATATTCATTAAAATATAATAAAACTTCTTAAAAAATCATAAATATTTCGAAACATTAATGAAAATATCTCAAAATAATTCAAAAAATTATGAAACAGCTTGAAGAAAAAAATTTCATTTAATCATTGATTCCTTTCAACCGTTTGCGAGCTTCTTTTAAACTGGGTTTTCGATGTTGGAGTGGGTTTAGGCAATCTTTGGGCCTTGTCAAGCACAAGACTGATGCCCAAAAATTTCAATCCCAGAATGCACGCAGATGCTAAAGAATTTTAAAGAAATTGAACACCAAAAGATTAAAACAATTTTTTTTTATCAATGGGACCCACAAACCACTCACACCGGACAATTGATTAAAAAAATTATTTGAAATCTAAATGTTTGAAATAATGATATCAATGAAATTTAAGAATATACTTACATAATAAGGACTTTTATGCTCGTTCCTAAGAGCATTTTCAATCCTAACTTAAATTTAGATTCAAATTTAAATTTGATGTAAAAAAACCCAAAAAACTTGTTCTACCATTTGACTCAAGTTTATACCAAATCAAGGGAGACTCATTTTTTTTATTCAAATCAAGAGAGATTTAAATTCTTACCCAAATTTTTAATAATGAAACTTTACTATCTTTTAAAGATCCAATGATCATCTTTGCTCTCTTTTAAATGTGAGTTTGCCATCATGTAAATTTGAACTTGTCTATTAAAACTCTTTGTATCAAATCAAACTTTTTACTGAAATGTTAATTTAAATTTGAGTAAAAATTTAAATCATGATTAAAAATGCTTTAATNAAATTCTTACCCAAATTTTGAATAATGAAACTTTACTATCTTTTAAAGATCCAATTATCATCTTTGCTCTCTTTTAAATGTGAGTTTGCCATCATGTAAATTTGAACTTGTCTATTAGAACTCTTTGTATCAAATCAAACTTTTTACTGAAATGTTAATTTAAATTTGAGTAAAAATTTAAATCATGATTAAAAATGCTTTAATGGAATGAAAATAGAGTTAATGGGCCACATAATTGTTTGGAATTCTGCATTTGATTCTGTTTTTGCAAGCTGGCAAAATGCTCGGTCCCCAGGGGAACACATCCTGAGAATTGGGCCGAGTTTGCGTACCCTTCCACAGTGTGAGCAAGCCNGAACTCTTTGTATCAAATCAAACTTTTTACTAAAATGTGAATTTAAATTTGAGTAAAAATTTAAATCATGATTAAAAATGCTTTAATGGAATGAAAATAGAGTTAATGGGCCACATAATTGTTTGGAATTCTGCATTTGATTCTGTTTTTGCAAGCTGGCAAAATGCTCGGTCCCCAGGGGAACACATCCTGAGAATTGGGCCGAGTTTGCGTACCCTTCCACAGTGTGAGCAAGCCCGATCCCTGGCTAACAAAACCTCAGACCTGGGAAGATATGTGAAGCTCTGTACTCTGTAGTGCAGGCAAAAGCCGATGCTTAGTTCTGACGAGCCCCGCATTAATGGTGACCCAACAAGGTGAGATTATAGCACAAATAGTAGCAAGTGTGCCGGGAATGCGGTTTGGAGTCGATTCAAGATCAGAGTGGGGAGTGATCTCCGATGGAAGAGGCACTGGTTAACTCTGTTTTCTGAAGCATTATATCACAGTTCCAGACTTCCACAGTTCAACCCCATTCGGCTGCACCTAGTCACTTGTACTGTGAATCATCACCACTCAAGATGCAGAGTCGAGGACTAAAAAAGCTCGACCTAAGAGGAAAATAAAGAGATGAGATAAAAGAAGACCAATAATTAATTCTAGATGCTAGAATTTGCCACAAACTGCAAAAGACACGAGAATCATCGCTCCAGAAGTTAGCAGCTATGCCTGAAAAGAAAATCAGAAAACCTCAAGAAGATTTGCTTCAGGAAAAATTGAAGCCATACTACGAAACTATGGTGCAATGGACCAAAATTAATCACTACCCATTGTATGTCAATGACCAGATAAATGCAGTACCGCTAAATATTCATATGACTTCTTGATTCTAAACCCAGCAGTTCAAAAGAGCTAAATCATGAATATCAGAGATTAAAAGTTCAAGTCTCCATTTCGATGAGTCAAAAGGGGCAGAAAAGATTTTGATGCTAATATATGTCAATGATAAACCCCCACACAGGATGATCTGCTATTACAAGAGAAAAAATCAGAAGAATAACAAACTTCATGAGTCAACTGTTGTCACCTGTTGCCATTCTCCATCTACTTCTTCTTTCCACAATGTAACATTGTTTTCCCCATCAGCAACAGCCAGTATGTTTCCAGTCAATGACCATGAGACCCTCCAAACAGGGGCCTGAAAATCCTTCAAAACCTTTCCATCCCATTGATCTCCTTCCTTGGCCACACTCCATATAATAACTCTTCCGTCTTGAGAAGCACTTGCTATAGTAGATTTAGGAAGTCCTAAGTTGGGTGCCCAAGCAACATCCCTTACCCAATCAGTATGCATTTGAAGAGCAGGGAAGCAATCCATCTTCCAAACTCCATTATAAAGCTTCCACACTTTCACTGTGTTATCACAACCACCAGATGCAAGCTTCTGAACAGGGTCAACCAGGCCAGAAGTGAAAAGAGCACCAGGAGCTATCGACGGGGACCATGAAACAGATGTGACACCAACTGGGTGAGCCTGGTCAATGCGCGATGTGTCCCAACCACCATCTGTTCTTGCAGTGTAAACCGAGATATTCCCATCTGAGGATCCACATGCCAAACAAAGACCCAGTTCATGAGGTGCCCAAGCAATGGAATTGACAGAAACTTTGTGATCATCAAAAAGATGGGCTTGGCTCCACTCATTCTGTTGACCTTCCTTCCAAATTATGACCCTCCCATCATAAGAACAGGAAGCAAGGAGGGACCCAAACTTCGGGTGTGCCCATGCTACTTGCCACACGGGTCCCAGGTGACCACTCAAAGTTGCAAGATGCTGAGAAGCCGAATTGCTTACCCCAATAATCTTAATGGTGTTGTCTGAAGATGCTGTGGCAAGACGCTTGCCATAATAATCCATTGCCACATCATGAACTGTGTCTTGGTGACCAGTTTCAATCTTTTGTGAAGGCATTTTGTACTACCTAGCAAACAACGGCTCAAAGTTCCGCTATTTTTTTTTGTAAAAATGAATCGTTTCCTTCTTAAATAAAACACCTACAGGACAGATAAAGTAAAGCAAAAATGATAAGAGTATATTTTTTTTCAAAATCAATGAATGCCTAAGTTAGGTATAATCTATTGTGCAATTGGAAAATTCAAAATGGTGAACATAAAGGAGATAAAATAGCTGCGCGATCTTGCACTAATAAAGCAAAAAACATGAAGCAGAGAAGTGTGTTTGAATAAGGTTTTCGTTTTTTCTTTCATTCTCTCTTTTCTTGGGCATGTGTTAGTATAAGAACCCTGTTACCACCACCTAGGTTTTGTTAAACAATGTTAACAAATAACAAAAGACAATCGATTTCAAGATGACTCTGAGTGATCAATAGCATTGCACATATAGATCTAAATATATTTGACTGAAGGAGTTATTAAATTATGAATATAGGCAACTGGATGGACATAGAGTCATGCATATATACATTTTGGTAACCCTGCCAACATTAAAGGAGACCAGCAAGCAAGTAATGAACTAAAGGGATCAAGAAAAGAGAACAAAGAAACACATCATACAAAACAAAAATGCCCGCTAGTTCTCCTTGGAGAAAAAAGTTTGAGAGAAACGAAGAAAAATTAAACATCATAGCATGAAAATAAAGTGGAATTGAAGCACCTCTATTCCTCAATCAAATTACTCCAACACAAATTGTGGAGAAAAAAAGTTAGCGGCATTTAAGATCGGGCACTTTTGAATTGACCAAAAAATGGTGATCAATTTTGGTCGAATAGTAGATCGTCTATGAAATCCTGACATTGCCCTCTTCTACCTGCAATGCCAGTGTATAAAAAGGTGGTACTTGTGAGATAGCATTATTGCAGTGTCCCAAAAAGTAATGATTCAGTGTTTCTCTAACCTTGAAATTTTGTAGCTCAAAAACAGTATCTTAAAGGTGGTTAAACTCCGACTAATTAATGTGATGACTGGTCAAGATTGTTTTGGGTTAGACGAATAATAAACACTGCCATGTAAGATTAAAAAGAAAAAAAAAATCCATTTTGAATTTGTTTAGATATACTTTTAGGTAACCATGGATTTGATAGAGTTTGGTTCAATTACTTGTTACTACATAGGAGTTATCTAAGATGTTGAGTCGTTCTGTCACATAGTTATTTACTTGAATTAAAACTCTAGATATACTATTGTGCTACAGCTTTTAGCAGAGTATTTTGGTGGAACAAACATGTTATTAGTTCGATTATAAACATGTTTCACTGCAGTAAAAATTCTTGTGTTATGCACTAGTGTGGTGAAATATAACACGTACCATACAGGGGAAGAAAAACATCATTTGTGACATTCAGAAAATAAGAAATAAGATAAAAGAAAGAAAAACAAAACAAAAAATACTGATTTCCAATGAGTTACAAAAAAGTCCTAAATAAAGTGGAAGGGCAGATTGCGCAGCAGACTCAATTGAGTCAAAATGTAGGTGATTGTTACGTATCTCTTCCAATCTTCCATCATACTATTGTTCTGGTGAATATGTGAGCAGTAGACTCATCTGACGATCATCATCTGATGTTCCAATTTACCACAGAACATGATCCAGAAACTGACATCTAATGTGTGTTGTAATTGCAACAGAATTGCAACTTTCTCATCCAACAGGCAGCCTTCCTTCCTACTGGCTAGCTTCTATTCCCCCTTCTCTAGAGGCAAATTTCTAGTGATCAACCTTGATTTTCTTCCTATTATGTTCAGTGTTTTCTATCTCCAACCAAACCAAGATAACCAAGATATAAGACTCACAAATCCAATCAACATACTCTTTTTCCCAAACCATTATCAGACGATCTCAAAATAGCGAGAAGGTGATCTTTCATGTATGACTTGATATGCTCTACTTCTTTGTTGAGCAATGGGACCCGAATCTCATAGTAAGAAAGGTGGTTTCAAACCAGGACCTATTGTCTGATAGCTTCAAACATTGTTGCAAAACTTTCGTAGTTCACAATATTAAAGGGAATTCCAATGTCATACATCCATCGTGCACATGGTGTGTTGGCTCTCTCTTATTTCCTTTTTGAAAGGATCGTTTGCATCAATTTTCGCTCGTCTCCCCTTGGCCTTTTTGCATCAGAACATTCAGATTAGAGGTGAAGAATACATCTATAGGCCCTTTTTGCCTTGGCTTTTTTGGTATGGATGTGGCTTGTGTAGAACCTTGACTAGAACTAGCCATGGATCTTTTACCATACGCAACAACCTCTACAATATCATCTTCATCCTCTTCGAAGTCATTAGGCATCTCATCAAAGTCGAGAACCATGTTAATTTGATTCTTCTCATCTATTTTTTTAGCCCTGTATTCTCCAATCTCCTACCTAAGATGAGTAGGACATCATGGGCAAGTAATAACACTCGTAGAGTTCCCGACGATGGACACCCCCATTTGACTCTTTTCCACAAAAAATACACTTAAACTTGTTTGGGTTTTGAGGATTTACCAAGTGCGCATATTTCCATGCCAGATTTTTTTGTTCCCTTCGGTCGATGTTGCCATCACACTACAATCAAATAGGTAGATCTATAACATATTAATCAAACATCTTAAAACAACTAATAAGTAATGAAATCAGAAACAGAAACAAAATAATCAACATTAGAAACAGAAACATAATAATAATAATCAAAATTAGAAACAGAAACCGAAACAGAAACTAAAGTAAAATCACAATCCCACAATCAGAGTCCTAAAATTTCAGAAATCAGAAACAGAAGAAGTAGAATTAGAAACAAAAACATAAGCAAAAAACAAAAATAGAAACAGAAACAAAGAAGAAGTCAAAACAGAGAATCCCAAAAAAATAAAAATAAAAACATATAATCTCAACCAAAATAAAACATAAGTAGAAGCAGAACTAGAGAAGAATAATGAGAAGCAGATGCAGAACTAAAACCAGAAGCAAAAAAAAAAAAAGCAGAAGCAGAAGCAGAAGAGTAAAAACAGAGGAGAAGAAATCAAAATATAGAATCAGAACCATAGAAATCAGTGAATCCCAGAAAAATAAAAAACAGAAACACAAAAGAAGCAGAACCAGAAGATGCAGAATTAGAAGAAGAAGACAAGAGAATAGGAGGAGAGAAAAGAAAAACATACCTGTATTCTGCCGAAGAAGAAAAAGTAGCAGATCGGGTCTGGGCTGTGTTTTCTGTTGGAGAAGAAGAAAAATTAAAAGAACAAGTAGGAGAAGAAGAAGTTAGGGAGAAAGAGAAGGAGTAAGAGGAGAAAATAATATCTTACCTGTTTTCTGTCAAATAAGAAGACAGAAGCAATAGCAGAAGTAGCAGATGTAGGTTTTATGTCGAAGAAGAAGAAGAAGAAGAAGAGAAGGAAAGTTGTCTGTGTTCTGTCAGGACTTCTTTAAGAAGGAAAGAAGCAGTAGTTTCCAATCGTTATTTAGGCCATTTAGGGTTTAGGTGTTAAATATATTGGGATAAGGGACAATCGGGTATACGGGCATATCACAATTTTATTCCAATTGCCCAAATCCAAGATCTATAATAAAAATAAAATTACTTAAAAAACTTAAAAAAGTCACTCGCTTTTCTTACTAGTCGCTTGCTTTTTACCCTTTAACCACGCTTCCCTCAGCTTTGCTTCGCCTGGGATGTTCAAGGCGAAAACGTTTCGCTTCGCTTTGCTTTCTTGTTTAAGCGTGACTTTCACAACATTGTTTGAGAGTATTAGTATTGGTTTAGAAGTATTATGGCAAGTGACTAGTGATGCTTGGGCAAGAATTAAAAGTAAGATAGTAACACAACTTTGGTATATTTGGGTTCTTTGAATTGTTAGAAAGGCAATAAGTAGTAAACTGAAAATCTCTTGGTTGAGCTTGAGGTTGATAGTTGACTCGCACATACAAATTTTAATTGAAAATTGAGGTCAAGGGTATACATACGAATTTAGAGACATATGATAAGGAAACCTAGGAACTTTGATTAATTATTGGCAATTATCCTTCACTTTCAATATTGTTGGACTAAAGACTATAGATGTTCAAAAACTCTCAGTCAAATATTGTAGACAATTATTAGGATGAGGATGATACCCAATGTTTTGTGTGAACTTTATCAAGGACTGAAATTTGTTAATATTATTGGAGGTGTGTTGTGGAATATAGAGTTTTTCTATGTCCCTAAATACATCATTGAGAGAACGCTAAATAGGTTAGAGTTGAAAATTGTTGGTATGATGTATGATTGGAAGAATGCAATCTGAGGAATCTATATCAAAGCCAATATGCTACGAAAAGATGCTAAGAAGAACAAGTGTGAGTTCTAGATGAAAAAGAAATTTTTTTACATTAGTGGAGAAACTATTAAACGAATTTTGGGATAAACTCAATTACACATTTTTATCACATAGAGACCATCACAACTACAAAATATGCTAAGTATAACGAAACTTGCAAGTATTTGCACTATCTAGCATAAGCAAAAAAATATTTTCTAGAGCATGCAGGCTTGTCTGCTACAAAGATAGATTCAGAACTATTCTACTTGTCACCAGTAGGTCAATATTGTTATGTTTCATACTTAAAATCAACTAGTATGGAAAAGTGTCTACTCCCGAGATTCCAAAAATCGTGCATGCGACTCCTGTCAATATTTTACATCATCAACCACTAGTGCTTTCCCTTGATTTACAAGCAAAACGTGCAAATTTCTTTTATTTGTACAACATCCGAGGTCCTTCACTTAGATGTCCGAAAATTCAAAATAATTTGTTCCATCAGCCTAATGTTTCCACGAAGGCAAATGAACTATGAAGCTCAAAGCAATGATTCTTTGATGTGTACAAAAGATTGTGGTGGATCTGTATGAATGCACTTACCTAAAATAATAAACAGATCACCTCCATCATTGGATTCAATAACCACATTGATATAAAGATTACTAAAGAGCAACAAACCCTACAGCAAGTCCTTTTACCTGCTTTTTTCTTTAAACATAGAAGCTAAATAATCCCAACGTGTTACATAAGGCAA